TTGGTTCGGTTTTTCGGTTTTGGTTATTTTGCCCACCCTAGAGATGTTAAATTGATGAAAAAAATAAAAAAGTTGATAAATATTAGACAAAAAAGGATAAATGCTATATTTCGTGAAAAAAAAAATGCTACATTTTAATTTTATTGTTTTAGGAAAAAAAAAGGTAAATTTTAAGAAAGAATAAGGAGAGTGATGGGAAGTATGCGTTTTTTTTTTTTTTGAAAAAAGTGATGGGAAGTGTGCTTTAACTGCTCATATTGGGAAAAGCCGTAAAAAAAAAAAACTAAAACTGAAATTGGAAGAAAAGCAAACAGAAAGATAAACGAGGACGATGATGCACACACACACCAACAAAAACAAGACGACGCACTGAAGTGTCATGAATTGCGTCTGCTTCTGAAACGCAAGAAAAATGTTTTTTTCCTGCAAAGTGTAATCTAAGGTTATTTCTTTTTTTTCTTTCTTATTTCGAGAAATTACATGGGATGATGAAACCATAAAAATCTCATATCATCAAATAATATGATTATATAAAAATCGCTAGCCAAGATGGGAACCCTGCATATGTCTTACTTATTGGATCAATTTTAATCACAATGTCAATTAAGATTTCATGGACCATACAATTGGTAAGATTTAATTGGTTTTAATGTGAATAAAAAATGAGCCTAATAACTCATGGAGAAATCTCAAGTAACAAAGTTTAAAACTTTATAAATTGAGAGAAGTATAGTCAAATGGCTTAGAATGAGATTGAGATATGTAAATGGATTTGGTGAATTGATCATAGATCCAATGGGCCAAATTCATTTTTAGTGTGTGGTTAATTGTAGTTAATCACAAAAAACCTCTTTACTTAATTTGAAACAGTCAAAGGAATAAAAAGGTGTGATCAATTGACATTCATTGTCATGAGTAATGCCACTTGCGTTTGTTCTTAAGTTTGACTTGAAGGGAGTAGGGGTGGACAAACAAGAATATGGGACGGGCTTTCACTGGAACGGGACGGTAACAAGATTTTTGGGACTAGAGAAATATGTCCTATTTGTATCCCATTTAAAATTCGGGACAGAAACGGGATAGAACGGGATGGGACGGGAACGGTATGGAAAATCCCATAACATAACCGGTTTCAAAACAAAAAAAATAAATAAAATGATATTGCAAATTGCAAACATGTATTTAACCTGCTTCATTCATCAAAAACATTTTCGAAATTAAGAAAAAA